ACCCTAAACCCTAAACTTTGAGATGCAGCTCTGCTCCAGGCCCGGGCCTTCCGGCCCGGTCTTGCTGACCGGGGCCTGGGACGGTCGCTGGCACGAGTGGGATCTTTGGCCCACGAGGCCCTGCACATCCTTAGGGGTACCTTATTTTGGGGTCCTATAAGAAGGATCCTACTATCTAGGGTTTAGGGTTTAGGGTTTAGGGTTTAGGGTTTAGGGTCCTATAATAAGGATCCTACTATCTAGGGTACCATATTAGGGTCCCCTATTTTCGGCAAACCCCCAATATGGGAAGTATGAGGCAACGACACCGAAATCCTCCTAGCCCCTGAGAGAGACCAAACCTTTGACCCTCTACCCTGCATGTGGCGATAAGTGATAAGCAGGTTCCCGAAAGTTCAGTGCCAAGAACGTCGAATACAAGCAATGGAGAAGAATACCAACAATAGTGAGAATAATAGTAATGATGATTATTAGTGTTGTTAGTAGTAGTGCTATTCTTTTGATTAGGAGGGCATATAAACTGACAGGAGAACAGAATGATATCATGTAGGTGCCACAGAATAGCATGCTGGATGTTGGAGGCCGGCCAAGCCTGCGGAGTCCGTGGCCCAGCTGTTGCTTCGAGCCAGAACCATGTGGTTCCAACTGCATGTATGACTGGCTGGAGTTCAGGGTTTGGGGGTTTGCTGCAGCACCTTTCCGGCCAGAACTTCGCAGCCCGCATACAAAAAGATTCAAGGGTTTTGGTGTATGAGGGTTGAAGTCCTTAAACCTTTCGAAAGCGCAAGCCGCAAGAAGAGGGTCGGGGAAAGGGTCTCTCGTACCGGGGTCGATGATGCCAACCCTTCAGCCCCAGGCGCCGGGGAGGATCTGGAGGCTTTCTTCCGAATCTTTGTGGGAGGGGCAACCTGCCCGACTGCAAAAATGAGGTTTCTTCGGGGAGAATCAGGCGTTGGTGTCGAGCTCAGTATGCAGCACGACTGAAGCACATTAGGTCAGAGAATACCGTTCTGCAGAAATGAAAAGCCGTGCTTTGTGTCTCTAAGCATAGCCCGATCGCTTGCTTTAAGGACATGACAACCACGTACATGGTCTTGCTCTCAACCATGACTGCAACTACTTGGCAAAGCTCTCAGTGGAATGCACTTGTGCTTGCGCTGTTTAAAGTCTTGCTTAGATGGCCGTAGGAAGCACTACCTCGCTGCTGGTAGAGAGACTTATGGGTTGTGCGGGTCGCTGAGTGATCAAACCTGGCCGTGCGCCAGCGTGCGTAAAGATCCTGTCGCCATGTCAGTAGAGGAGGAGATCTGCATAGTGTGCACGAGCAGAGAACACATTCAACACACCACATCAACAAGATGTCTGACTTCTGCGACACCATGGAACAAGTCCAACAACATGTAGCACCAACTGTTTGTGATTCGACAATGAATGTCTGTCGACTTGAGAATGCAGGCGGCCTTAAGAGAGAGAGAGAGAGGGATACATGTGTGTATATATATATATATTACATATATTTTTATTGGCAGCTTCGGTTTCTGTTGCATTTAGGAGTACGCCTGCAAACACGCACTGCCAATCAGAACGCGGTCCCAGGCCTGTGCCTGCTCGACCGGGAGAGTCCTCGTGTATCGGCGAAACTGCCCGTCACGGCCTTATCAGTGCCGGGGATGATTCGGTTTAGAGTTTTTTTAGGGTTTAGAGTTTAATGCCATTTTTGGAGTTTCTCTTGACGGGCTCAAACACAGCCGTTTAAGATTCTCAGCCTGGTTAGCTATGGCACTCTACTGTAACGGTTGCTAGCAGTTTCTTATTGCTGGGGCTCTTGCCAGGCCCTGGCGCTGCAACTGCATTCATCAACACGCACAAGTGTATGTATATAGGTATGGGTGTGTGTGCGCGTGTCATGTATGTACATATATACATTTATCATGTTTATGACTACACACATACATGTATTATAATACATATATACAAGCACCATTGCATCCAGACACACACGCACACACACACACACACAGACTTACATACAGATAAGTATAATTACAAGTATCAGAAACACACACACACACACATATATATATATATATATGTGTGTGTGTATTTACATATACATATACATACATACATACATACATACATACATACATACATACATACATACACATCCGCATCCTATTCTGGGCATTGCTGCCTTGTGACCTTTTGCTACTGCTGTTTCTATGTGCAGCGCAGTGCTTTGACGATGGTTATCATTCATTTTGCTCTCGCCGTGATTTTTGAACATCGTTCTTACAAGCAGGAGTAATAGTAAAAGCACAGCAGCAGTATGCAGCAGCGGTCGTCGCAGACGATTAGAATTGGTAGCAGGAGCTCTAGGAAGAAGGGAGGAGGAGTCGCAGTAGTAGAAAGCACTAGTAGTAGAAAGGGTGGAGTCGTCGTCGTAGTAGTGGTAGCAGTAGTGCTAGTAGTAGTAGCAGTAGTAGTAGCAGTAGTAGTAGTAGTAGTAGTAGTAGTAGCAGCCGCAGCAGCAGCAGCAGCAGCAGTAGCAATAGCACGGTCTCCAGTAGAACGACCCGCATATCGGTAGTACAGTGGCCAAGTGGCAACAAACTACTCTGCTGTTTGCCCAGGCACGTGCAGTGTTTCTACGATTTCCTGCCAGCTGTGCTGGGGTCCTGTGATATCTCTGACAAGCCGTACTTGCACAAGCTCACTACTGTCAACATTCAAGCCTGAACAACTACTAATCTTATTCCCTAGAATGCCGTCCCAGAACTACACTATATCTCATGCACCAAGTCTCTATTCTTTTTCATTCTTATTCAGGCACATCTTTTACCCGTGAAAGACTCCCTATTCTAATGATTACGGCCTCTAAACCCCTATACTAACCCTTATGGATCCCTTTAAGAGGACCCTAATTCTAGTCATACATAGGTGATTCGGTAATGTTGCTCCTGGTAGGAAGAGCAGAGCCTTCTGTTTCCAACCAGGACTCGAGAAATTGAGCTTTTTGATGCTGACGATGTGGCGGACCTGAAAGAGGCTAGGGGTATCTTAGGGTTGAGGGTTTCGGGGACAAAGGGGGTTAGGGTTTAGGCGTTTGTTGGGGTTTAGGGTTTCGATTGTGTCTGGGTTCAAAAAATAAACTGTCGATGGTTGGGCGCAGACGGGCGAGACTTCCATGTATCACCGGGGCCCACAGTATTTGGGACCTGCGGCTTGGGCTATACGCTAGAAGCCGCTAAATGCACATGCATGTAACGTATTCAAACACAAACACACACACAGACACAGACACACACACACACAGACACACACACACACACACACAAACACACACACACACAAACACACACACACACAGACACACTCATACACACACGCACACCACACACACACACACCCGCGCACACACACACACACAATTTAGCATGTTGTCCGACAACTCACTTGCAGCAATCGGTTCTTGGCCAGTCTCTGAAGCTTGGAGATCACGGTGAGTTTGTCGTACAGCGTCGCCGGAGGCTCAACATTCGCTGTTGATCAAGTGGCATTGCATGTGACTGCTGCTCGTGCGTTTCTGTGAACATAGTTGAGCCTCACAACAAGGCTTGGAGCTCGCTGAGGGCGCAGTCATCGTTGAGCCGCAGGATCACGTTGGTTTTTGGTTTGCGGGGCTGTTGGTGCACAGGCCGATGGACTGCCTCGGCAAGGGTGGTGGGCTGCGCAACTCTGCTGTGGATGATTGTCGTTTCAATCTGGCAGAGACTTGAAGCGGCCGGCTTCAACAATGGTCACAGCAGCTGTAGTCATAGTTTCAGCAGTAAGCACGATTGCAGCCCCAAGCCCCGACTCGTAGGTCAAAAACCCCACGCAACTGCAAGGTATAACCCTCAAAACTAGCGTATATCCTATCCCTGTAGACCCTAGACCCGTCTAGATTCCTTATCGGATTCCTCGAGAGCCCTAATAGAATTCATCTTTCAGACAGACTCAGTGCGAAGAGGAGATCCGAAGATCACAGGAGCTCCTTCTGCCCGAACCAACCCTAAAACCCTCAAACCCCTAACCTAAATGTACCTTCCGACATAGCAGACAGACCTCGCCTGGCTTGCCCTGGCTTTAGCCTAAACCCTAGACCCTAAACCCTAAACCTCAACCCTAACAGGAGCACCTTCTGCCCGAAGCTTCCTTGGAGGGCTTCAAGAAGCGCTCGGACTTGGACCCGCCCTGAGAGTTTGGCTCCGGGTTCCCCTTAGGTTTAGGACTACGGCTTAAGGCTACAAGGCTGGGGGCTTACTACAGGGGGCGTAATAGTTAGAATATAGGGTTTTGGGGCCCATTCTCTTATAATACTATAATTATACTAAGGAGCCCCAAAATAGTATAGGTAATTATCTATGCCCCTACATTACTATAAGGGCTCCTACAAGGGTCCCTGTAAGGGCTTTTGATAAGCTATATGGGCTACTATAAGGGGCTCCCCATAAGGATTTATTCTAAGGCCTATTACAGGGCTGCTTTCAATTTCAGGGTTCCAGAAGCGATGAGAGTGTTTAGGACGTTTAGGGCGCTAGGATTTTTTAAGGAGACCTCAGTTTGGGCTTGGGGTTTTGGATTCAAGGGCTTTGGAAGTAAGGGCAGCAGTCGAGTCCCTTGTGAAAAGAGGGGTTTAGGATGCAGGCGTACATAAAGACAGACAAAACCTACCTACATAAACACATGCAAAATAACTGTGCTACTGGTAACATCTTCCGACCAGCAGCCGTACATGCTTGCATGTTGCGCTTTTGCACTTCAGGCACCAGGGGTGCTGGTCGCACACCGGGTCCAGCCTGTAACTACCACCGCCGTGTGAATAAACTCTCGCCTAGATTCCCCGAGAGAGAGAGAGGGAGAGAGAGAGAACGAGACCCTAAACCCTAAACCCTCTCCAGCAAAATCCCTTGGCGGCCAGAAATCCGAAACCCAAAGCCTGCACCCGTCATGGAGTCGAGCCCTTCGAGCCTGATCGAACCAACCGAGGCAAAGAAAAGACACTTGAGAGATACAAACGAACTACCTGTAACAAAAAACCTGAAATCGTTCTATAGAGCCCGTGCACATGACTCGCACATTTACTTGCCCTTGTAAAGCCCTCATAGTACTGTACCTGTTGCTTGTGGTAACCCTTCCTAGCAACCCGAACCAGCTCATGTAAACCCCGAATCCTTCCCTAAATGCCTTCTTAACTTCAAATCCCGCACCCTAAACTTTAAACCCCTAGAGACCCTATAGATTACGACCTATGTCAACCAACCTCGAACGTAGGTCCCACCTCCAATTTACCATCTCACTGGGAACCTCCGGGAGTGAGCCCCGAAACCCTTGAATTGCCAGGATGCAGTCGAGTTGCCCGGGCGCTTTCGCTTGCGGTTTGCCTGAGCTCCCAGCTTCCGCATGGGCTCAGCCAGCGAATGCATCAGGGTGTTTGGGGTTTAAGGCTTAGCAATAGCACATCCAATTGCTGCAGAAGCATGTTCGACCGGCTTGATCCTGTCAGTGGCATAGAGCTGGCAATCAATCGCAGGCGAATCATGTTCCACAGCTGTCCCGTCGGAATCGCCATTCTAGCTTTAGTATAAGTGTACAGCCGAAACGGTATGCTAGCTTTTGAAGGCCCCTATGCCCTAAACTGTCCTGCATGCTTGCAGCCAACGGCTCACGCTTCGAGGTGGGCTGCCTTACAAACGGATATCGCAAAGCCTGGCGTACCCTGGAGCACGTGCAGGACTTGGTTGGCGGTTCTAGTTTAGCCTAGGCAGAAGTGTCCTTGGGCGGCCTCCTTCCGTATGTATACATATACATTCACATGTATTTATATGTACCTATGCACACAAACAGATATCTTCATATGTGTATATATATATAATGTATACTTATTTGTTTATTTATGTATGTATTTCTGTGTATATATATATATATACCTATGTATATGTATATATATATATATACATATGTAAGACAAATCATGAGGTTCTGGCAGCTTCTGGCTTCAAAGTTGTGTGATACTAGCAAAGCTATCAGTGGCAGTTCAGTCGGAAAAACTCTGCCATGCGATACGAACCGAAGGTCACCCGAACTATTGGCTTTCGTTTTCCGGTGATCGCTAAGGGCGGTGCCGTCCATTGTCTCGTGTTGACACGAGAAGGCTCGCAAAGTGATGCTGCAGTACCTAGAGGGTCATACCCGACCCCTTTCTTAGGGTTTTATGGTTAGGATCTTTGAGAAAGGTATGTACCCTACAAAAGGAGTAGGGTGTGACCCTAGAGGTAGTAGCCGGAAGCCTGGGATCGGTTCTCGTAACAGAGCTGGCCTTGCGCACGGAGTCGGCAGGCTTTGTTGGACATGAGGGTTCCTGAGTTCAGGATACCTCATCTCAGGAGTCCTCATATTGGGCATCCTGCCACTTAGGGTCTGCAGCATGCATCAGGGCTTGTTTTGCGAAGCTCTGACATGGCTCATGCTTGGGCCTGCGCATCAGGTAGCAAAGAGTACCTATTTTCGGGCTCACGCATCTTGGCTGCATGCCATTTGTTCTTGCCAATGTGACAGGACGACACGCGGTGTTGTGTTCGCGAGGAGCACTTTTGCCTAGCAGCCAGAGATACCTGTAGCTCCAATTCCTACAAGATAGAATGTATCACGGTTTGATCAATCGGGGGCCTAACCTCCGCGGAGCCATGGATGCCGGCTAGCCCCTCACTACCCCTGAGGTGATCGCATGGTACGGAAGTGGTGTGGATCCCCAGTAGTGTCAAATCTTGGCTGCGATGCGATTCCGCAGTTTTGTGCTGTTGGTTATGGTGATGCCTGAGCAGGGGCGGTAGCTTGAAGATGTTAGCGTAGTTTCGAAGATTGGGCTCAAGGCATCTGCGTGTAGACATTCTCATTCAACTTTACCCACGCAGGCTGCCACAATCCTATTTGAGCAGACTCGCCGCAGCAAGCATCTGCCGATCTTCCAGTCGCTATCATTCAGCCACTCAACGAACTAGAGTTTGAAAGAAGTCGACGAATCGCAGCTCTGACTCTGATAGACTCGAAGCTCAGAGACGAGACAGAGCACTAGGACAAGTTGTGAATGTAAGTTGCAGCATGATGCAGCAAGCCACGCTGCCGATGCAGCCAATGTTTCTCGGAGATGGGCGCGAGGCCGGCTTCGCGCCACCGCTCCCCCCCATGTTTTCTCATACGTACAGTGTACCTGCCACAGGGGCATCCGCACAGGCCCCCCTGGCACGCGATGTGCAACTGCAGCTCCGTGCTGGTGTGGTCGTTTTCGACATGGAGTGTATTCATGACAACCCGCGGGGCTCATACCTCGCATGCGGACTCGTCGAGACTTCCAACCAATGGGAATGGAAGCAAAGATGCCAAATCATCGAGTTCGCAGCCGTTGACATCATCACCGGCGAAAGCTTCAGCGTGCAGTGCCGACCACACTTCAGCTGGCAGGACATCACGTCCCATGCAGCACGCCGCTTTGCAGAAGATCATGGCCATCGTGAAATCATCGAGGATATGGGCTTGCCACACTTCGAGGAAATCTGGCACTCCGAGCTGATCCCATTCCTGCAGCGTGCCGCTGGGGCAACAGGGAACGTCGTGCTCCTCGCTCACAACGGGGCAGCCTTCGACGAGTTTGTGTTGAAGAAAGAGATCGCCCGTCTTCAGCTAGACATGTCTTGTTGCCCAAACTTGATGTATGCGGACCCGGTGGCCGCCGTTAAGGACAATTACCACCATCCAGCAGTGGCCGCGGAGTATCGAGGCCGACACATGAGCCTGGCCCTGGCAGATATGCATCAGAGGTATGTCAGCCATTCGAATCGTACATTCCAGCAACATCAGGCACTGGACGACTGCCACTTGCTCCTCGATGTGCTTCGCCATGCTCCATATGTGGCAGATGCTTTGGCCGCCCATATCTGCAACATGATCGGCCTCCATGTGCCGGACCTTGCCAGCATGCTGCGCAATCGATTGCAGAACCCCTTGAACATTCGGGACCCACTTCCGGCTCCACGCATATTCGAGTACTGTGGGAAGCGGTACTTGTTGAAGAACATTCCATTCCTTCCGGCACCACCCGTCCTTCCGGCACCACCCGTGTTTGTGCCTCTGCCAGTGCCAGTGCCCACGCCAGGTGCTGCACAGGCTGGGTCGGTTGTGCCACCACCGCCCCCCACACCCCCACCAGAGGAGACCCTCACGCCACCACCACCGCCTCCGGTTCTGCCAGCTACCACTTCCCAGTCCCCCAGCCCACCTTCTTCGCCGCCGACCTTTGCTCCGGCCACGCCGCCAATGGCACCGGTTGGGGCTGTCCGCACCGTCTTGGATGTGGAGGATGATTTGAAGAAAGAGGATCCGAAGGACAAGAGCAAGAAGAAGAATCGAGCAGATTGGTGGGACGGCAACTGGGACAACCATGGACATGACTGGTGGGCGTGGTCCCACTACGGCTACGATTCCTCCTACGATGGAGGAGCCTGGGGCTACCAATCCTACGGAAAAGGAGGCTACCAGTCTTGCGGAAAGGGCCGCCAGAGAGGCGGAGGCGCCAAAGGCAAAGGTGGGAAGAGCAAGGCCAAAGGCGGCAAAGCCGCCTCTCCGGTGGCTGCAGCTCCCACTTCGCAGCAGCCCACTGGTGCCGAGAGCTCCACGGTCACGAAAGCCTTCAAGTTCCAGTGAGAGCTCCTGCGGTGAGCGGGCCGAGTTGTGGTCTCTGTTCGTGGTTTGCGTGGGTTCTTCTCAGATCTTGTGGTCAGGGCCTTCTCCCTTTTTGGGCCCTCACTGCCTCAATTGGGATGGCTTACCTTTCGAGACGATTGAGCTGAAGGATCCACGCGGAACCGCGGAAGTTGACCGTGTCTCACGACTTTCCTTGCTCAGTGTGACCAAGTCTGAGTGTGAAAGGTCACTTTGCCTCCTCAAAAGTACGCTGAATCATCGTAAGGACACTAAACGAGGCTAGCCACTTGCACTCCGTTCTTCTCGATCTCCGAGCTTCCGGCTGCTTCGGTTCATGACAGACCGGATGTGATGCGGAGGTCGTTACTCGACGGTGAGCTGGAGCTCACGCTTTGTGGGCTGCAGACCCAGGATATGTGGCTTTAGGGTTTTCAGGTAAGGGCCAGGTGGCTGCAAGCTTGCACTGTGCCCTGTTCATATATAGACTCTATACCCATAGGCCCCATAGTAGTTCCCTTTTGGGGGTTACGGGTTACCTTATAGGATTCTATATATAAACCCCCAAAAGGAACTGCTTTAGGGCCTATGGGTAGACCCACATACTCAGCCGGCAACTTGGCACGGTTCTTTATTCAGCGTATGTGACAAGCCGTTGAGCCCTGAAGGCATTCGTCCATGGTCCGCTGCCTTGCAGAGAATGCGATCTACCTAGCAAGTGGTGCCTCGCCTCATGTCAATGTGGGTGGTTGTCAAAATTATGGTCCATTTTTGGGTCCTTAT